CACACCAAGGACCAATAAACGTCATCATTTACCCAGAATGCTTTGTGTGTAAATAAAATGGCTCCGTCCGTGTTAAAATATATTTTAAAAATTTTACTAAACTAAACAGCCTACAGTATTTTTACCGTCTTTATTTTACAGTTAAAATAAATGTTTATCAAATAAAGTTTAATGTTACAACTAATCGGGGATCCCTTTAAGAGTAACAGGTTCAGAAAGGATGAGATAAACTAAGAAAATACAGACCTGATGATGACGCAGTCTAAAAAGTCTGTCAGACGGCTGTTCTGGACGATATAAGAGAAGTCTGGAAAACGTCTCTGCAAAGATACACACCTTTAGTGACAGACTTTAAAAAAAAACATCAATTTATGACAAGAAACGACAAAGTTTTAGTTGTTTTGGTTGAATTACAAAAGTTTTGCATAATCTTGTTCTATTGTGGGATGTCATACCAACGTACAGATATGGCCGAAAGTGTTGGCACCTGTGAATTTTTTCCAGAAAATCAAGTATTTCTCCCAGAATATTATTGCAATTACACGTTTTGTTATACATGTTTATTTCCTTTGTGTGTATTGAAACAACACAAAAAAACAGAGGAAAAAAAGGCTAATTTGACATAACTTTACATAAAACACCAAAAATGGGCCAGACAAAGTTTTTGTCACCGTCAACTTAATATTTGGTTGCACACCCTTTGGAAAAAAGAACTGAAATCAATCACTTCCTGTAACCATCAACAAGCTTCTTACACCTCTCAACTGGAATTTTGGACCACTCTTCTTCTGCAAACTTCTCCAAGTGTCTCATATATGAAGGGTGCCTTCTCCCARCAGCAATTTTAATATCTCTCCACAGGTGTTTAATGAGATTTAGATCTGGACTCATTGCTGGCCACTTTGGAACTCTCCAGTGCTTTGTTTCCATCCATTTCTGGGTTAAGTGTAAAAGTTGATCAGCTGTAGATCCAATGATTTCTAAAGTATTAATAAAATTCAGCTGGTTTATGAGATATTTTGCTAACAGACACAGACAAAAACATTATTGCCCTTTCACCTTAGTGCTTCTAGTGAACCGTCCAAAAAAAGAGACAGAATACATGTTAAAGTTACAGCTTTATATTGATGATGATGATGATAT